TCCTGTAATCAAATATTGAGAAGGGTGAAATCTTTGTCTGCAACCGCTTCCACAACCTGTCATCTCTAGCAAACAATTCCATCCCTGACATCTGTCTTGGCACCAAACTAGATTGTTTAAAACATTGATATCATATTTGATCCAAATTGAGGTTCTGACCATATCTGCTTCGGATATTCCCACTTATGTAGTATGACCCAACTCCAGCCCTGACCAATTCATCTGCTGCTAAAACTTATTCATGCCTTTATCATCTCTAGATTTGACAATTCCAATATTATCTTGACCAGTCCCTCGTCTTCTACCCTACATGAATGTGAGTTCATCCAAAACCCTGCTGTCACGCATATCACCCTTGTGATTGCTGATCTACATTAATTTCCCAGTCTGGCAATGCATCCGTTTTAAGTGTTTGTTTGCAAATTTTTGCATGGTCTCACAACTTGGTCCTTGTCAATGTATTCTCTCACCCAACAACTTTGGAGCTCTCCAGCCTTCCAAGGCTCCATACGTATCTTGCGCAGGTGGCATTTGAATCTGGATCTGCTGGCCCAGAGGTAGGGACACTATCACTGCGCAACAGGAGCCCAATAGCATCTTATGTATCTGTTTTTAATTGCTGTCCCATTGGTGCCACAACCTTCACCTGCTTGGAAAAATGTAATAAATTCAAATTTGACTTAAAAACGCAATGTGGTTCAGTTTCCTTCAAGACAGCATGTGGCACGGTTTCATGTCAAATGTTCTCTGGTCTGAACTTCCTAAGAAGCTCCCCATAGGTTCCACACTGATTTTGACTTAATTACTTGAATGCCCGTCCTTAAACCTTTCAGCTCACGTCCCTCATCGTGCTCAAAAATTCGGTAAAAATCAAACTTTTGGTCTATATGCCCCAATGTGGCCTTGTGTTGCTCGTTGCCAAATTTTGCTTAAAAATGTCTTTGGAAAAGATCTTGGGTTGTTTTACTACATCAAAGGAACTCAATAAATATGTACTTTGAGTAAATTCAAAAATGCTTTTTTCCCTTGTGGAAATGTTACTTTATCAGCTGCCCTTTTATTCTCCCCCAAAGAGCCAGCAGTAAATTTACGCAGGAGTGTGAAAAGCACAACAGTTTTGAAAGTGTCATACATAATAAAACATCATTGTTGTATTTTAATACGCCCATTTGAGAGCAACTTTGACAGACTTTTATGCAGCAGAGACTTGGAGACTAATATAGACCGGGGAAAGAGCGGAGTTCGGTTTTATCGGCATTTACGTGATTATTCGTAAGCAATAAAAATACCAAACTGTAGACCGACGGAGGTACAGTGATAAATTGAGAACGTGAAAGAAAGAGGGGCCCCGCCCCAGATCTCTGCCCGTTGCCAGGGAAGCAGACAGTGACCTTTAACCCCACGGACTGATTGAGGCCGGAAGCAGTGGGAGAGTGTTGCCGCTATAAATTAGAATAAGTAACGACGGAACAAGGGTCGAGAGTCGTGGGTGAGGAGTGAAGTTGGTGAGTTTATGTGGAGAGTATGATATGTGGGGCGGGCTTTCTCTGTTTGATGCTGAGGCCTGTTTTGGATGGAGGAAGAGGATGGGCCTCTGCGTGGAGTTGGCAGTTGGAAAGTTGTTGGTTCGCTACGGCCAAAGAAATTCCCCGTTACAAATAGTTCTCCGTGACTTCGCATGTTTCGTGTTTCCCAGTGTCAGAGGCCGAGTAGAGGTTCGGTAGCTTGCAGTTTAAGGCTGGTATTGCCGGATTGTCCCTTTTTGATGTTCATGGTCCCAATTTTCCATCATTGGTAAAGTCCCGCATGTGTCATGGGGTCGTCGAGTAATTTTTGGTGCTGCCTATTGGAAAACTTATCATACGATTTATTCTGCTCGTTAATGCTATTTTGGGCTAGTTATGTTTGATCTTAGGCTTCATTCGTTTCCGGAAATAGGTGTGGTTACTAACCTAAACAATCAGTCTGGAATAGGTACGACAGTTAGGAATGTGCTTTTCTTAAAAATAAGAAATTGTCTGGTTTAACTTGATGAAATGTGAAATTATTTGGCCTTATTAGGCATTAAGCATGCTGGCACATAGGATTCAACATAGAAGTAAAACAAAGAACTGTAGATGCTGGAAATTTGAAACAAAAACAAATTGTTGGAGACAGCAATTTCTGTTCTTTGGTTGTTCTATCTTGAATACGAAAATAAATGATCAATTATTATCTTTCCATTCACCAATGTGAAAGGAAACTTTAAAAATCCTTGTAAAATGGGGAATGATTCCCAATGTCTCCAATTTACATCTGGATTAGTTTTGATAAAATTTGAGTTTGTTTTTCTTCAAAGTACTGTCAGTCCTAAAGATAAAGTTGCCATAGTCCCAGCTGGTGGTGATTTAACCTGAGGGATTACCATGCCACAAATAATGAGTAAGGTTGAAAAGTTGGAATCTTCAACGGTAACCTAAGCTGGTGCAGGAATTTGAACCTGTGCTATTGGTGTCACCCTGTATTGCTGCCCAGCCATTCATAACTAAAATACTACTTCAGTAGAAGTAAATATTGTATTAATATTAAATATTATTTAAACACAAGCATACATATTAGGAGAAGATCTAGGCATCCAGGCCCTCAAACCTCCTTTACCATTTGATAAAGTCATGGCTGATCTGATTTGTGACCTCAAGTCAACTTGCTTGACAATCATAACCTTTTGAGTCTCTTTATCAAGAATCTATCTGACACTTAAAAATAGGCACTGATCTGCCCCAACTGCTCTCTGCGGAAGGGAATTCAACAAACTAACATTTGCTGAGGGAAATTATTTCTCCATCAGAGAATGGAACAATGTGCAAGGAGATCCTTCAGTCCACTGCATCTAGGTCAGCCGTTGAGCACCTATCTATTCTAATACCATTCCCAATACTAGGTCAGTACCCTTATGCTATTCATGTTTCAAGTATTCATCTAAATACTTGTTAAATGATTCCTAGCTCTACTGCCTTTTTAGGCAGTGAGTTCCAAATTCCCATCATCCTCTGGATTTGAAAAAAATCCTTTAACTTATTTCTAAGCCTCTTTCCCCTTAACATAAATCTGTAGTCCCTGGTTAGTCCCTTCTAAAGTGAAAATTTATTACCTACCTTATCTCTGCTCATATTTTTACAGAGCTCTGTATCCTCTGGCGTAAGGAAAACAGCCACAGCTTATCTAGTCCCTCTTTGTAACTGAAATGTTCCAGCCCTTTCAACACTTTGGTGAATCGCCTCTGCAACTTCTCTAAAGCAATCTTGACCTTCCAATAATGTGATGACCAGAACATCCTACACCAGCTGTGCCCTAACATTGGATCTTTTTACAGTTCAATCATAACATTCCCGCTCTTGTAGTCAATGTATTGACTAATAAAGGCTTCATCCCTGTGTCTTAAATGGGAGACCTGTTATTTTAA